CTGATCGGTGCTGGGGCAGCGTAGGACTTGGCCAGGAGTGGTGCTGGGGAAGCGTAGCTGAGTGGAGCAGCGTAGCTGTAGGGAGCAGCGTAGCTCTTCGTCAGAAGAGGAGCTGAGGCGGCGTAGCTATAAGGGGTAGCGTAGCTCTTGGCCAGAAGAGGTGCTGGGGCAGCGTAGCTGATTGGAGCAGCGAAACTCTTGGTCAGAAGAGGCGCTGAGGCGGCGTAACTGTAAGGGGCAGCGTAGGTCTTGGCGATTAAAGGTGCGTGAGCGATGTTGTAGTTGAACAAGCCGTCGGCGTCGTTGCTGATGCTGTGGCTGCTCACACGGACGGAGGAATGTGCACTGTCCTCGCCCCTAGAGTAAGCCGAGATGACGTTCTGGCCCGCGAAGCCCTTTTGCGTGGACTCCTGGCTGAAACCGATGGTACCCAGGTCACCAGACGCGGTGGCGATGTCGTACGCCGCTGGTCCACTTGCGCGGACCACAGCCAAGCAGGCTACCAATGTTACGAACTACAAAGGAATTTATTTGTGTTAATTCATCTATGTTCATTTAATAACTTCGTAATACTGGAATGAAAATAAATTCATTTGCACGAGTAGAGGAAACAAAAAGTCATAAACACTTGCGAGAAAATGTGGATACAGTTTAAATAGTGAACTTCTGTTTAAAAGCCAAGACTTGACTGCCAAGCAAAAGTTCTTTGAATACTTGTAATAAACAAAATTTGAAGATTTTTAGAAGACTTTTTGTTTCGATTCAGTACTCGTGTCTCTGAGGATGTAACGATGATGACGGGTACTTACCTTGAACGCCATTTTGCTATTGCTTGAAAGAGTTGCTCGGCTCTGGCAAAATCGGAGACCCGAGCCACTATTTATATGCAGCTAAGGTTGCAGGGGGATCAATCGAATTTTGGGTGCCACTGCTCCCGATGCGATTGGGCATACCGGACCAGGGGAGGGGGAAACTGTACCGCGGCACTTTTTTCGGTGGAATCATTAAAGAAAGGAAGATTGAAAGTGTGAAGGCGGAGAAGGATAGCCAGAAAGGGGGTATGGGCACATTCCAGGCGTGGTCCCGACGCAAATAAGATCGCCAGTTCGGCAAGTATACGTAACAAAGGTTTACTCCAATGTCGACACGACTCGAACGTTTCTTATTTTTCAAAAGTCGATTCAATATTTACTTTACGAAAACATGACATATGTATCGCAGGAAGCAGGGTAAAACCTATTCATTAAATCTTTCAAAATGCTCCCTGCTTGTCCTATCTTTTTGATGCATGAAATAGAGGCGCATATACAGGGATATACAGGGGCCTAATCTCCCAGGAGTAGAATTGTCTCGTGCACCAGTTAATATGTGACAATTCCAGTATTTACCATAATTCGTGGTAACCTTAGAATGTAGCATTTATGGGATGGTCAGAGGTAAGTTCATGGTAAACTGATCGTGCCGTTAATAGTAACGTTAGTGGTACTACGATACTCGAGCATAAATTATTTGACATTGACGCTTTCTTTTCCGCGTCGTTGTTCCTGCAGGATAATGCACTACGTGAATACTTGATGAATCACGTCGACTACCATTATGCCCCCATACTCGTTACGGGAGCATCAAATTAACCATTTACGATTCCTTTTTAAGTGGACGTACAACACTGAGCGCAAGAGTGACGCAGCAATTATTTCGCCAACTACAGTGCTGTCAAAATGTAGGTGTGTAAATATATTTCATAGTTCATCAACATCCTTTGTAGCCGGCAAATTAATCTGTCGATCATGTTCCCTGTGTAACAATGTAGACCAAGAACAATTGGCCCGACAACACTTTATTATTGTAAAATTGAATCGTGTGTACTCCGTAACTACTCGCGTAAAGTCAGCTTCTGTTCGAATTGACGTACGGCATTGTAAAAGGGAACGCTGCTACGTCACGTGAAGCTTTTTTTGTTCGTCTTGTATCATGGCCTTCCCTTCGTTTATGCAACGTGTGATACATATACACCAAAGCCGGGCCATGATATTGTAAGACCAGTCAAGGACGCACTTTCTCCGAATTGTGGCACTGACATATAAAGCCATATATGTTGTGCACCGGTTCCACGTAACATCTGTCGTTGTATCGGTGATCTGGTTACGTTAATAGACAAAAGTAACCGGTTGACAGCACTCACAGAAATTGATAGGCGTGACCCTGGCAACCCTCGAGCAATTCGCAATGACGTAACGTCGAATCGCTCGTGTCGTCTAGGCAACTAGAGAAAAAAAAAGAACCGAGGGACTTTCTACTGTTTTATTATAGCAACTTGTTTGTCCGCCTTGATGTTTTTCAGCATCTAGAAACAGAGGCGAGAAAATCAATACACCTGGTCCAAACAGGTCCGTCCGCAAATGAGCAAATGGAATGCCCAATTGTAGCTCACTTTTCGCAGTCGCCCGTCCGGTCTTTTTTCAGTTCCTTGGTCAACGTATCCATTAGATTGATTTCCCTCAAAAGTCACGGTATTTTGTCTAACCGAACTGCTCCCAGAAAATCCTTCCCTTTGTTTCGATGTCCAGTGACCAATGCGAATTTTCAGCGTTCTATCTTGACCTGCATCGCTCAACGAGAAGTCGGCTCTGCGACTCTTTATTTGCTCCATTTTGTCGAGTTCTCCTGAATTTGTCGAAAGAACCTCTTCTTCCTTGGACGTCGATGGCTTTTCTTCGTCTGCAATCAGGACCTTCCTTGAATTCCTCTGCAACAACGAAGTCTCCGTTTTTCGTCTGCGAAGACCTTCAAACTTTCTCCAGTTTTTCTTCTAGTTCATTTACTAAATATTTATTTTTTGTAGAAAATTCATAGAATCCAGTAGCTGAACGTAGTAACCAAGCTTACTCCAGGGGCTTCCATTTTTGCAACGATATCGTCAGGCGTGTCCCAAGTCGCTGGACCATAACCTTGAATGGACTTGTATCTAACGTAGAGGTCTTCCAGTATAGTCTTAACGCGAGGTGGCAATGAATTGTTTTCGATGAGACGCTTCGTCATCAGGAGGTATTCTTCTGTTGGGGACAGGATTGTGAAGGAACTTGTGTCTGCATTTTATTGGCACTGAATCACTTAATAATGTCAAAACCAGTTGATAAATTTGAAACACGCGCAAAAAATGTTAATTTAGCGAATAGAATTTTATCTGTCATCCAGATTTTTTCGTCAGGAACACACCTAGGTGCCTTCGTTATTTTACGACGATACTAAAACACGTTTAGGTATAATTTAAGTCCAAGGTCGATTGGAGGTCACAGACGATACATAACACTGCTACAAAATGAGAAAAAAAAAAATATGGAAGTGGATCTGGAATCATTCATGCGTCTACATGAGTGCTTGTAATACGTTTCTTGGACTAAACAAAAATAATAAATTTAGAAATTCTGACTCAGTCTTACCAAAAGTGAGACCAGGTTGAAAAACGATTGAACTATTTTCTGTCAAATCAGGAGCTGGTGTGGGTAATGTATTTTCGTTTCCCCAGGTGTTTGGTATCGCAGGCCTTTCTATTCCAGAACCGTTTCGCATTATTATTTTATATACTCTGTATTTCTTTTTTAACCAAATCGTTCTATATTTCCAACAGGCACCTTCAAGCCTTTCTTTATACAATATTAAGGTCACACTTCCAGTAGAGTAAACACAGTTCCTTTCCTTGTAACCTTTCCTTTGCCATTTTGACGACAATTTCTTAAATGGCGTTTATTAAGACAAAAAATTATATAAGATTATTACGCTACGGTATGACGTTTGTTTATAAATGTATGTATCGATAATAATCGCAAATTTCCGTTCATTTATGAATACATGAAATAAACGGCGGGTCACGTGTCAATATTTCGTGCATACTGCGATTAAAATGTAAGTCACAAAAACAATGTTGTTTATATGAATTTGACAATAAGTTATACTAATGTAAGGTACTGGTAGAAATAAAGTAAAAAAAAATGTCAAAATAGAAACCGACGAGGATGGGATTCGAACCCACGCGTGCAGAGCACATTGGATTAGCAGTCCAACGCCTTAACCACTCGGCCACCTCGTCACATGAGAAAGTATGCTTTAAATGTTCGTCATAAACGAAAAGTATCGAAATTTTAACAACAAAACACCTTTCACTTTTCGTTTCTTAGCAAATGTATCTACTCCCTGTTATGTACTTTAATGATTTTCAGCATGCACTCGCAAGTCTGTTCTGTGCACTGAATGCATTTCAGTGATTTCTATATGTGTACACGTTACATAATCCGATAAAATACCATATGTGTACAATTGTGTACAAATTCTGTTATCAATTGATAATATAAATCTTTTCTTGTTTTATATCTTTTCGAATTGCACAATTTTTTCATCGATCATTAAGAATAATATACACTGTGAATATCTTATTTACACCCATTTTCTAACTCCAAGTGTTAACATACATTTGTTTTCTTATGCCCAGCGGACGATATATATGTCAAACATTGTGTGGTGTTGCAAGCATCTTATATGCTTGTGAGGGCTTAAATATATGTATCATATGTGTGTCGTTAGCAGAAGAGTAATTAAATGAATTGGCAGTTTCACTACAGTACTTAGAAACCAAGGCAACGACAACCGTAATCACGGTTTCTATTAGGTAATCACGTTACGTCGTTATATCCATTCTACCTACATTTCCTCTGATGCACTATGATGAAATAAGTATCACGCCAGTCACATTACTCCACTAGTATTGGATTTATCAGCATGACAGATACCATAGATGTAGCGGCTTCGTATACGCCGGTATACGACGAAGTGACCAGACAGAATATTGAAAATGATTTTACAAGAATCAAAGGTAAGCAATGTAATATTTCTCTTGTGCTTTTGGTCAAGGTTTGTACCACGAAAAATAAAATAAAGAAAATATTCATAAGAATAATATCTTCTTTAGCTCTGTAAATTTGAAAGTATACTCTGTCTAGTGAATGCATGAAAAAGATAAAGCTATAGTTATCTTTTATCTTTCAGATGAATGTTACTTGGATCATGCAGGAGCTACTTTGTATTCAGATAAACAAATAAAAAACATTACCAATGATTTGCATCATTCGCTCTATGGTAATCCTCACTCTTTTGGAACTGCAAGCAATGAAACTGGAAATATCATAGACCGTATGAGACACGTGTAAGAAACCTATCAAGAGAACCATGTACATGTATACTATTGATATACGGATGTATTAACATATTCTCACTCTTACAGGATATTAAATCACTTTCACACATCTTCTGATGATTATACTGTTATATTTACATCAAGTGCAACTGCATCTTTGAAGACAGTAGCTGATACCTTCCTATTTACCAAAGATGGAACAAACTCATCCCAATCAGGACATTTTGTTTATACACAGGATAATCATACATCAGTCCTTGGTATGCGAGAAATTGTGGCAAAAAAGGGAGCAAAAATAACTTGCTTGAGCCACAATAACGCTTTCAAAGTTTTTTGTTCTCCTTTACATTCCTTGACTTCTTCAAAACAAAACAGCAACTCACTTTTTGTATATCCTGCTCAATGTAATTTTTCGGGACTAAAATATCCTCTAAAATGGATAGAAAGTGTGCACAATGGAATGCTCTCTAATACCATTTCTAACACATCCACTAAATGGTATGTCTTATTGGATGCTAGTGCTTTTGTATCAACGAACGACTTGGACTTGTCTCTCTACAAACCAGACTTTGTATGTCTATCATTTTATAAAATGTTTGGATATCCTACCGGAATTGGTGCCCTATTGGTAAAGAACTCTAGTGCAGATGTGCTGCATAAAGTTTATTATGGTGGTGGCACCGTGGATGTTTCTCTGAGCTCTGAAATGTTTCATGTGAAACACCAAAGTTTGCATCAAAGGTACACAAATTTAAAACCTTATTAAACAAGATTAAAGAGTTTAAATTTGTTATTAGTTTTTCTTTTACAGATTTGAAGATGGTACAGCACCATTTCTTTCTATAATATCATTAAAATTTGGTTTTGATATACTGTCATCTATAACAATAGGAAAGATTTCAATGCATGTTTTTTTGCTTGCCAAGTTTCTACATAATTCTTTGTTAACTCTTCACCACTGTAATGGAAAACCTGTTGTAAAATTATACTCTGATACAGATTATGATAATCATAATTTGCAAGGTGGTATTGTTGCATTTAATCTCATGCGTTCTAATGGTGAATATATAGGGTACATGGAAGTCTTACATATGGCAGCTTTATTTAAGATACATCTTAGAACTGGTTGTTTTTGTAATCCTGGTGCGTGCCAAAGACATTTAGCATTATCAAACAAAGAAATTCTTCAGAACTATGATGCAGGATATGTTTGTGGAGGTGATACAGATTTAATAAATGCTAGACCAACGGGGGCTGTAAGAGTTTCATTTGGATATATGTCTACAATTAAAGATGTTCAGACTTTACTGGTTATGATCAATAAGTGTTTTGTAGATGGACCACAAACAAATCAAATTCCTGACTGGTGGCCAGATTACAAAACGACATTACATAGAAAATATTATCAACATAATATAATCACAGAAAGTGCAAATAAATTAACAAATGACAATACTTATAGTATTACAACTAAATTATACAGCATGAAAGAGTCAATGAGTCATTTTATCAATGAAAACCAATTCTTCAAGCTGACAAATGATGATAATGAAACTCAAAGAAAATGCATTTTAGAAAAATTATACATATATCCAATAAAATCATGTGCTGCTTATGAGATAACAAATTCCTGGAGTTTAAGTTCCAAAGGTTTGCAATATGACAGAGAATGGATGATCATTACTGCTTCTGGTACTTGTTTAACACAAAAACAACATACCAATCTCTGTTTATTGAAACCAGTTATATTTAAGGACAAAGGAATTATGCAATTACAATATCCAGGTATGATACCTATTTACCACAAATACTGTTACGTATTAACTAATTAAATAATTATGAACTGTTTTAGGAATGCCTACAATAAATGTCCCTTTAGGCAATAACAATGTACATGACACAGAGGGAACAATATGTCAAAGCAAAGTTTGTGGACATAAAGTAGAAGGTACAGATTGTGGAACAGATACTTCAGAATGGCTAAGTTTAGCTCTAGGTCTACCAAACTTGAAACTTATACAACAAAGCAACTATGAAGTTAAGAAGAAAGGTATAGAAATAGATAGAGATTTAATTTCATTACCTAATTGTATTTTTCTTTTATAGACAGCAATAAACCTGAGTTATCATTCTCTAGTCAAGCTCAGTATCTGCTAATAAATAAAGCAAGTGTACAGTGGCTTAGCGAGAAAATATCCAACACAAAAGTTCAAAAGGATACAATTATACATAGATTTAGAGGAAATATCATATTAAACAGCTGTGAAGCTTTCGAAGAAATGAAATGGAAACACATTCGCATAGGTCAAAACAGTTTTATGGTATGTATTTAAACGAAATAAAACAAGAATTATGTGGTTTTTCCAATTAAAAAATTGTCCTATTTAGGTAACTGGACCATGCACTAGGTGTCAGATGATATGCATAGATCAAACCACAGGCTTAAAAACAGTAGAACCATTACGCACACTTGCTGAACGATTCCATGGAAAATTAAGATTCGGTATCTATTTAACCAAGGAAACCAAACAAAATGGAATCATTACTATTGGAGACGCTGTTTACATTTCATGATTCGAGGGCACAATTACCTTTATTGTAATGCATTCAAGGTAAACCAGTAAACTTCTTAAAAAAGACAGATTCTAGATCTATCATCAAATACGAAAGGTTATGTGATAGTTGCGACGATTTATTTATGTTAGAAAAGGAATGCAACGTTTCACAAATCATAAATGCGTTAACAAATACCTAGTATTAATAATTAAGTAGTCATACTTAGTTTCTAAGTAAAAAATAACGTAGTTTCTTGTCTCTACGAATGTGACGATTGACAGTTACCAACAGTTACTAGCATTTCCATCAGTTTTTATTTTCCTGATTTATATTTTATGTTTAAAACACAAATAACATCTTGCAAAGAAAGGTACCTTTCGCAATAATAATGATTCCAGACGAATATTCCAAAGATAGATATAAATTTGTACCAAAAATACTATAAAATATTTTTTCAAATTGTACAACTATTTATATGTATAAATAAACTTGTGAACAATAAGTACTCTTGTAATTGTTTGAACTTTTGATATTTTTAGATTTCTTTAATGATATCAAAGCCAAATAACATATTTTCAAAACTCTTTATTTATACCTTCGTTTGTTTGAATTTCTTATCCCGCCATAATTTAAAAATAATCCCATATATTTTGACAAAACGTTACATTTTTAGACACATCTCTAACTTATAGAATAAGTTACTTTATATCGGGCTTTGGTTAAAAATGACATGCGTTTAATACCCACAAGCTTCAATAACCATTTTTTATATGTAAAAATGTACTTACAATATTTTCTGATGTCTTAATATTCTCTGTCGAACAACATTCACGCAAACGAGGCAGCAAGATCCACGACAGCAAGGAACATCCAATATCGTAACATAAAGTAACTGTCATCTGCAATGTACGATTGCTTCGTCACAATTTGCCTCCAAAAATTGAATTTCTTTCGAATATTCTTGGCATTTCTTCGTTAGTTTGGCAGTATTGTAATTACATCAGTGTCGGTACGTGGCGCTGCAGTACACACACCTGTCGCACGTCACCGTAACGAGGTTCAGTACGGTTCGTGAATTTAGAGGGAGTTGTTGATTTTTACACGTCCTTCCTTTGTTTCTATTGTAAATTGTGCTTAATAACGAGAAACAGTGCTACGTACCGTATATTTTGCTTCGAAACCCGCGAATCTGTTGATAATCGTACACGTAGGCAACAGGTGTCTAATGAAGCACATGTTTCGAGTCTCGTTGTCAAACAATTAAAGCTTATCGCGTGTCAAAAGTGCTTGCAAAAGTAGGCATGTTTTGAACCATGTTAGAAAGAATCGTTGAAATTTTGGGTAAAAGTGTTCACGTTCTATTCTAGAAACACGGTATAAATTGTGTACAGTTTGAATTCCTGGTTCACGAAAATGGAATACGATTATTTAATTAAATTCTTGGCCCTTGGAAACTCGGGAGTCGGCAAGACGAGTTTTCTGTATCAATATACCGATGGCACATTCGACTCTCGTTTCATGTCGACAGTTGGCATCGATTTTAAGGAAAAACGTGTGGTAAGTTATTATATTCATTTATCTTGATTGGAAATTTCAATTTAGTTCTGTTAATTGTGTAATAGCGTAATACATTTCTATGATGAAAAAGTTTCCAGTGAATATGTGGATATACAAATTGACCTATAACAAGCACTGGAACCTGTAGCTTTAAAGTAGTTCTTGATCTATGCACAACTATTTAAATAAAGTTTCCTTTAAACTATTTGTAGATTAGATAAGCGCATATCTTGCATATTATAAATATAGAATGTAGGCTTGCTTCATGCAACCTTTGTTGTTTGCTTGGGTGTACGTTGTATGAATTTAATAAAGTGTCCGTATGTGTATAAATGTGTATCTGAACTGAACAGAGTACAACAATTTATTCGCAAGGTTTATTTGATTGGATCGCTATTCTGATAAACATTTATTTTGTTCTTTGTAATATTTATATATATGAGAATTTTGCTAATTACTAATGTAGAAACGTATGTAATGTATACATGAAAATGACTTCAAGCACATGTGCTGTTACTTACAAGCTAGGATTATTAATTATTACAGATATACCAGACGGCAAATGGTAGGACTCAACGTATTCACATGCAGCTGTGGGACACAGCTGGCCAAGAGCGGTAACAGTCTTTATAATTAGTCTTGGGGAATCTTATATTATAGAAGTAATATCCTTTATAACAATTTTGTCATTGATTACAACCATTTAACATTTCTAGTTAGTACGAAATGAAAAACTACTAGTTGGTATCACATTATGGTAGTGGGTGATTTAACATGCAGATTATTCCGCATCCTTGAATGCTTTTATCACTAGTACCTCTCCTAAAATAAATAAAGATAGAGCTAATCGTGACTCATTCATACAAGTGCTTTACTGCTACTGATATATAGGTTCAGAAGTTTAACAACAGCCTTTTACCGGGATTCCATGGGATTCCTTCTAATTTTTGATCTGTGCAATGAACAATCGTTCCTCGAAGTACGAAATTGGCTGGAACAACTTAGGGTACTAATCATTTATTAACATTATTGTTGTGTATGTTTTGGGAGATCAAGGAGTAGTCTTATCGAACGATGATTTGAGTTAAAAGTCCCAGTTGGATATTAACTATGTTCATATTATTATGACTCACATACTTATGCATGTTGCATGATATAGATTAGAATTGTAGCATAGAAACTTTGGGTTTAGGTATGCAAGAGTTTCAAACAGGTGTGTAATTATCATGTACACTTTATTTTATTTGCATTTCAGAATCTATTTACAGATAACAAAAAATGTTTTACAACTGTACATTTCCATTGAATAAACAGTATTTTGTTTAACCTACTTTAAATGTGTGTGACAGTGCATTTTTGTAATATCTAAAACTTTGAATAAATCATGGTGATATGTATATATATGTGTTGAATTCTTGTATTTTCAAATGTAATAATTTTATTGTATTGTATTACCCATTACGACTATTGCATCGTAGGATTTGATACTTTCCATTTGAGAGAACAAATAAATACAAACTTTTATTTATATTTACTGTGTAAAAGATTGTCGATATTATTTAACAAATATTATAACATATGTAGTCTAAACAAGCATAGCTTATGTTTGTTTAGACTGTGTATGTTGTAGTATTTGCTTTGAACGCGACAAACAAAATATATATTTGTACTTATGAACTTGAACCGTCGTTCGATCAAATGAGTGTGAAAAAAATCGTCACAAGATAATGGGTTTGATTGTGATTCGTATCTGTGTACGTGTAGACTCACGCATATTGCGAAGATCCGGACATAATTCTCTGTGGAAACAAGTCCGATCTAGAAGACAAACGGGTTGTTAGCGAAGACAAGGCCCGAGAATTAGCGGAGAAACACGGGTAAATAACAGGGTAGCCATAATTCTTGAAGATTGTCCTTGTGGGGGGAAGTGTTCCAACTTTGGCTACGGTCTAGACAGAATCAATTACTCGCTTAAAGTCAAGTACAATTCACAATAGTGACCTTGGCAGATCAATTGATATCATCCTAACTTCTAGCCTTATCAAAGATCCAAGAACGCGGTGATCCAGAGCATCAAAAATGACTTGAGTTTTGAGCAGCGTTTTTCAAATTATGTTTTGTGGAAAGTATGAAATTATTTTGCATTATACTTGACCTTTATACTTCCAACCAAAAACAAAATTGTACATTCCCTTAAAACTGAGCATAATATATTTCAAAAGTTTGAGGAACACTATGATAAGGAACGCTTTCCCAAAGAGAGGACAGAAGAGTGGGCGAAGAGGAGATGCTCAAGGATTTCAATAGCTTGTATTCCCCAGCTTGGTCTACTTGGAGACGAGCGCAGCCACTGGACAGAACGTAACGCGCGCCGTGGAAATACTTCTGGATCGAGTGATGCGTAGAATGGACGCCACCGTGGACAAGACGGTGCTGCCTCATCAGCGAGTCCTGCGATGCCACGAACGCGACACTCCGCCTCCGAGCACTTCCTGCTACTGCTGACATTGTCCCTACAAGTAGCCGAATAAGTCGTCTCGCCCGAAATTCAAACGAAAGATGAAGCTACCGTTTTATTCAGCTAACATCAGGACTGGGACAAATGTTATACTTGAATCTCTTACCGTTTGAACTTATTTGTATGTTACTTCTACACTTACGGTGTGCAATGTTGATTATCCTGAATAGGTGAACATCCTGAAACTAATTTCATATCTTTAAATATACCTCTTAGCTACACTTAGGTGTATTTCATTTGGTCAAGAGCGTTAGAATCTTGTCTAATGTCGGTTAGAGACCTTAGAGTTTCGGTTTCGACGATTGTGGGCGTTGTCCATGGATAACCAGCGTTCTACCCGTATAAAAATGCATACTGGTCTCGTTTGTAACCGAAACTGACAGACACCTGTCTCGTAAATCACAGATTCGTGCGTCATTGTACTCTGAAACCGATTCGCGATGTTTCACGCATCCACGCACATACGGTCGTCTTCCATTACTGCTTCCCTTGGTACAGGACTATTCTCGACGCATACGTGTTGCCTTTCGTTCTACGCGATAATGCGATTTACCTGTTAATGTTGTACGCACAAGGTGTTCAGTATATATATACATACACACACACATATATATCAGTCCTTCTTCGTTTGCCAAAGATTGTGATACAATGGCTATGACTTAGGGAAACACCGATCCGCTAGGGTTCGGTGGTTCTCGACTATATCTAATGTATTTTTGATGCCGTTATTGTGTCTAACCAAAGTTCGTACACCTAGTTGTAAGTATCGTACTGAGAATACAATCAAAGCGTTATCTGGCGCCCGCACGCGACTCTTTTACCGTTCGTGCGACATCTGTTTCCGCTGTCGTCGCTCCGAATACCGATGATCGTTCATGTATTCTTGCCAAGTTTCGACGCGAAAGGCGTTACATAGATACGTCTACTGCGAGTGCGGTCGATATAGTTATACGAAGACTACGTGTTATATCTTCTGACTTTTATACGTGTCCTGTGTGTTCAAGTTAAGGAGAGTCAACGGATGTTCGTACGGGAGTCGCAGATGACGAGAGGTATCGGTCTACTGTATTGGGTTTCGAGCGTAGCAGTCGCTTGCTTAGGTAATAAATTGTGGATCCGAGGAAATGGGATTTTTTAGGCTTGTAGACTCGTACCATCAAACATCTGAGCCTCTTGTATCGCGAAGACAATGCATTACTTCTTCCAATTTTTACACAGTTTCTGCGAGTAATTTATCAAAAGATATTCGAATATATACATATATACATAAGTTTATCATTGTTGAGCGTATACGGGATTGAGATAGTAACCTGCTAGTTACATGGCACCGGAGTGGTGCATGAATGGAGGTGCAACGAAAAAGGATCTTAATGCGGTACAATCATAAATCAGGGTAGTTGATTTTTCAACTAACATTTCAT